CATTTAACACATACTTTTCTATCTGCTGAAATGAGGAGGTACTAATATGTCATTTTGGCATACATTTTCCCCATTTTTATTAAAAAACAAAACAGTAGAAACAAAAAAATTTTAATAGAAGTACTCTTTTCTCCCAAATCAATTAATCAAAATTGTAGTCATGAAAATCAAACAGTTTGAATGGAAATAGCTTCACTGCATATAATAAAAGGGCTCCATTTTGGCAAAGTGTGAAATATCTGTAAGGTGACAAGAAAGAGTTAAACTATCAATTTAAAAAAAAAATTCATTCTGTGTGGTTGTGCACCTTTATTACTAGGACTAAGGAATCAGATGCAGGTGGATGGATTTCTGTGAGTTTTAGTGGCTATGTAGTGAGACCCTGTCTCAAAAAAACTAAAACTAAAACAACAACCAAGAAATAGCCCCTCAAAAACAAACAACAAATGCCCACTTTTGTCACGGAGAGCTGAGAAGTTATCTGAGGTGATGGAAGTAAACCTCCTCCAAGTTCTGAGGAGATTTTTGATACATTGAAATTCAGAACATTTACAATAGGGTTGGCATGAAATGTCTGCAAAAAAAGGAAAGCAGGAATATTAATACATTATTTGGGAGACCAGAAGTCTGAAGGGTTTCATAAAAAGTCAACTGTTGGCACTCAAAAGGCAAATTACTCCAAAACATCAGGAAAAAAAAAAAAAAACAAACAAAGCCAGAAATGGAGACATAGGCCTTTAATCCTATAGCACTTGGGAGGCAGAGACAGGAGAACTTCTATGAGTTTGAGGCCAGCCTGGTCTACATTACGAGTTCCAGAACAGCCATGGCGGTTACACAGTGAAACCTTGTCTCAAAAAGTCATAAACAAAAACAAAACAAAATAAAACAACAAAAAAAACATTCTGATCCTATGGTTTTAGTAACTTCCGCACTTCACCTCATTTCCATGCTGCCAATTTTCCCACTAACAGCATTCCTGCTTATTCCATCACTAATGTAATTGCTTTCCAGGCATGCTCTAGTGTTATGGGCAAATATCATAATTGACTGTACAAAAAGAAAGCCCTCTTAGTGTTCTGGTACAAAAAAAAAAAAAAAAGAATGCAACATTTCTCAGGAAGAAATTATACCCCTGCTGTGTTCTAATCAGCCAACCATCATCAAGACAATCAAAATAATTTGCCTAAATTAGCCAATCAAGACACCCTGCAAATCAGAGAATGTAAAAACCTGAAAGAGAAAGCATCATAGCTGATTATGATACTAATAATTGTGTTAAAAACCTAATGAGATGAAGAAATTGGGAGCTTGCTGGTGCAATTCTCTTTTACCTCAACATGCTGAGAACAAATTATATAGACTGTAATTAAAACAAAACCCTAACCAAACCTAGCTAGTCAGTCTACTAGTAAACAACTAACTACATTGCAAAAAGAAAAGAAGTGCAAACTACTAACTATGAGCCATGATAACTCTTTAGGATAGGAATCTCCTCCCTCAAGGCCTAAACAATCTAAAATACTTCACCTTACATGAGAGTCACTCACATGTAAGCAATCGTGAAAGGACACCTAGCTCTTGAGAGATTTGTGGCAATTTTTAAAATCCCACAAGCACTTAAAGCTCCCCCCCCCAAAAGAAAACAATTAAAACACAAACTATAAGTGTGATTTACAATCCTGTCACAGTATTTGGACCTTAAGTTTTTGTTTTAAAAGAGAGGAAGAAATAGTAAAAACACACATTTTAATATCCTTGAAAATATCTTTGCTAAAAAAAAAGAAAATAAAGAGCAATCAAATTTTTAAAAATATAATATATACCAATTAGTTCTTTCTGCTATACATTTTGGAATTTAAGACCTAAACTATTAGTGTAACTAACTGCAACTTAACAGAGAAATTCAAAAGCCAAACTGTAAGGTTATGCAGGGTGGCATATGTCTATAGTTGCAGTACTTGAGGGATTGAGGTTACAGAGTAAGATCCTGTTGTCTCTTCTTCTCCCCAACACACACACACACACACACACACACACACACACACACACACAAAGAAAAAGAAAGAAACAACAACAATAAAAAAACCCACAAGCAAACAAAAAACAATTTAAGAAATCTCATTTCTTTTCAGGGTTCTTTTCTTTTTTTAAAAAATGCAACATATATATTTATAAGGACAGACTTGTTTTTCCTCCAACTTTCTATTATAACATTAATTTTAAACTGTTCTTTGCTTCACATTAAGGAGACTTGACTTAATTACATGGCTGAAAACAGATTCCAAACCCAGTGTTTTTATTGCTGGCATAATAGCTGTTTCAGAGTAAGAGTCTGTGTATAAAGTCAAGCAATCAAGGCAGCAGCAGACATATCAGTGGCCAGCTTTCTTCAGACAATCATGATCACACAATACAGTACTGAGATGCTTATGGACTTCACTGGCATCAGAATAAACACCTCACAGTACACCGGCACTCCACGAATCCCTCCTTTTGTCTGGCCCTTATTTGTCTAATGGTTCTAGGGCAGTACAAAACATCCATGACTTTGATGAGCAGTTTGTTTCACTCCACATGAACCAATGTTGTTCTTAACAAAACTTGGTAACCTTTCTCTTCTACTTGCTGCATGTGGACACATCCTTGGTTATATTCAGTAACACAGTATCGAACAGAAGGAACTGCATTACATCACCATGGATTACTAAGAAGCCAGCGAGATCAAGGGATTCATCTCTAACACTGCTGGAAGGCTTCCTCTTTTTCACACTACACTAACTATGGGCCAAGCATGTATCAGACAACATGACAGAAGCTAAGCATTCTTCATGAATGGCAAGCTACCACCATCAGAAAAACTCAAAGCAGCACCAGGACTATAGTCCTGAACTTGTACAGTTCTGCCAAGGTTCCCTAGAGGTTCAGTAATAGTTGCCATTGTCCCTACAAACACAATCATCATTTCTAAGAAATAATGATTGAAAGCATCTCATTCCTTAAAGCAAATTCAGCCCATGACTAAATTGTAAATGTTCACTTGACTCCAAAGCAGTCTTTAATACACTAATGAAAAATGAAGGCATTTATAATCTCCTGATTTCCTACCTGATGCTACTATAAATGAAAACTGGACAATAACAGCTGGAAGACCACCCTGTTAGCCTCATTAACTAGTAGATTTGGTCTGTACACATCCCTATGCAACCTAAATTCAGAAGTATAAGGACAGCAGGAAGATTAAAAAATTAAAGCAGTTAGATAGACTCTAGGACACGATACAGATTTGAAAATAAGAAATATTTTTTCTATTGCTTTTGTGGTTTTATTGTTGTTATATTTAGTATGAGTTTCATATATATAGTAATAAAAATGTTAGTGATATCAAAGAATTTTGGCTTTCTGAAAATTTTAGGGGACAGTTTTATTTGACCATGGAATGAACATAGAAAAGCAGTCATTGTACCATACACATTATGATACTATATGCACTTTTAGAAAAAAGTAAAAAAATTTTATGAATTCATGTTAGTCTATTTAATAATATGCTATTAATCCAATATTGGTGATAAAAAGTGAGCTTACCAAATGTTTAGGAGCCTAGCCCAATTCTGACGCATGTCCAGGGCCTCGCTCTGTGGTATGCGTACTTTAATTTTGAGAGCATCTACTAGCCACAGTGTTTATTCATGGACACTCATAGTCTATCCCCAAGTATCAATTTTATTCCATAGGCTTCTGATTTTTCTTCCTAAAACCCCAGGGTTCTCTCTAAGCTCCTCATACTTCTCCACTGACTCCAGTTTCCTGTCTGAAGTTATCGATTGATATATACCTGAACTCTGCTGGATTTCCTGACATCAATAACACATGGGAGTTGTGTAGTCCACTACATTTCCTAAAGAATTTCAGTAAAATCTTAGCTATTAGCTTGCAGGGGAGGCTTCTCTATAGACTAAATAGATCAGCAAGATGACTGAATGAGGGAAAACAAAATACCAAATGCCTTTAGTTTAGAAAGTCCCTTCCAGAACTCAAAATGACTCCTGCTCATTTTTAACAATGCTCACTATTAT